GGGGGGGGGGGGGGGTGAATAAGGAGTTTGAAAACTTTTCGAAGTTTGATAAAAACGGTGTTGGCAAATGCGGAAGCAATAACTAAAACGCAAAAATAAAAGCGTAAATAAAATGCACACCGATTTTATACTGGTTCGGGAAACCCCTACGCCAGTACCTCGAGGCTCCTCCTCAAGGATTTCCGAATCCATTAAGTCTCGGCCTCTTGAACTCCGTCAAAGCACCGCACTAGTTTTGGCAAACAACCCTTGCCAATAGGATTCACTTCGAGATTTCACAACGGCTATCTCGAACCGTTTACAATGAAGATTTAACGGCTATCTTATACCGTTCCCCCAAGGATTTCAAAGGCTATCCTTGAACCTTTACCCAAGGATTTATACGGCTATCCTTGACCGTTACAACGTGAGAATTTAACGGCTATTCTCGACCGTAAGAAGGTGTGTTTGAAGAACACAAAAGTAGATTCTACACAACGGCTAGAATATTAAAATGAAGAACAAAACTTAGCCAGTGTAGAAGGAAATTATACTCTCTCAAAAATACAATTCAAGCTTATGAATATGAGAGTATATAACTAGAAACACAAGCTCAAAGTGTGTGTATAAAAATCAGGAATTTAAGGCTCTTAAAATAGCCAAAATATTGAAAATGATTAATAAAATGATGAACACACTTAGAATAAAAAGAGAGGATGTTTAGAGCTTTGTTTCTTGAAGAAATATGAAGGATTAGGCTTGTATTTATAGTGGAAGATGTTAATTAGCCGTTGGGAGGTGATTAAGGGTGATTTGAATTTAAATTGGCAATTTGCTATAGTGATTACAACGGATCCGGTACCCTTCACGGTAGGGTTTGTACCGTCCGGTACCTAGGTACCGTGACCACGGTATAGCCTACCTTTTGGGGGTACCGTGTCTTCCAAAAGTTCGGTTCGCCGCTGGCGGTACCTGGTTAGGACGGGTTCGGCCAACCGTCTATGCCTACCGTCGGTACCTAGGTACCATTACACGGTATGGGGGTACCGTGTAGGCGGTATACCCTACCGTGTGGGGTACCGGGTACCGTGACTCTGTTCTGATTTTTCCAAAATTCCCTTAATCCTTCGTGTTTGAGTTTAAAACCTTTTAGATATTTGAAAATGTTTATGTGATGGTTTTAAACATATTTTGTGAGTGCTTTTGAGCTTGTGAATATAGGTATATAAAGTCATATCCTTACATTGGTTTCTACCTATATTCTACGCTAGTTTAGTGTTTCGACTTCATTCTTGAGTACCGAAT